TGAAGTTAATGATGAGTTTGAAGATAAAAATTATGAAGAAATAAATAACATGATGGAAGGAGAAGAATTAGAAAATTCAGAGTCAGATGACAATGAGGAAGATAAAAGCAAAATGAAAATAGGACAACTAAAAAGAGCTGAGTATTCATTTGAAGATAATGACCTAGACCAAGTAAACAAAGAAAGCTGGAATTTTCCCCAAATCACTAAAGATAAAATATTTAAAACTTCTTTCTTTAAGACTAGAACTAAATATTTATGTGAAGAAATGGAAGGAAGTATAGTAATCGAAGATTGTGAACAAAAAGCAGCCAAAATTAATATCATAAACTGGAAAAGTATTAAAAAAAATAAAGAAAAAGGAAATTATAGCTATATTTGTATTGGTGCAGTACAAGTATACATAACTCCTTTGCAAGATTTTGGCAAGGATGTTAAATGCTTGAGTTTTGTTTGTGATATTAGACATAAAGAATTTTATGATCAAATAATTAGTGGTATCACATGTAACTTAAGTCAAGGAACGATAAGCTATATATGTGAACCTAGATATTATGTGAGCTTAGAGGATTCCTTTGCGTCAAAGTTCTTAGCTATCAAGCTATTAACAGAAGGAGTGAAAATGCATAAAGGAATACGACCCATACAATTAAGATGGAAGGTGGTTTATAAGTTGGTAAACACTATAGACTCATCTTTTAAGAAACAAATAGTCGATGCTCAAAAATATGAGCAAGGAGAGGTCCTAAGAAGAAAATTACACCTATAAAGGTAAATCCTAATGAAATTGAAATTGAAAAAATTTGGGAAGAATTCTTTATGAACCCTGCTGTTAGTAATAGATCAAGTAAGATGTTAATTGATGAATCAGGACTACTTCATATTGGAATGAATACAAAACCTAAATTACAAAGAAATATGAGTTTTAGAACACCAAGTCTAAGTAGACAAAATTCAACAATAATAAAAATGAAAAAACAAGGTGATGAAAAGCCAGAAGAGGATGAAGAAGAAATATTAGTTCTAGTAAAGAAACTAAATGAAAAATATGAAAGCAAAAAAGCCTTAAAACAACCGGCAAGGCATAGCATTGATATGGGATCATATTCTAATTTCGAGTTAAATGAAGATCCAAATAATCCTATTGATAAACGGAAGGTAATTAGATATAAAACCAAAACTGTGAGTGAACCGGTATATGAGGATGAAGTTAATATGCAAATGGAAGCTTGTAATGAAATATCCAGTACTAATCCTAATAGCATTTATATTCCAATTGATATATGCATTGAGGATTACAATAAATATAGATTATGTGCATATATTGATAGTGGTTGTTCTACATGTTTTGGAAAGAGATCATTATTTCCAGAATTCTTGTGGAAAAAGGCCAAAAATCCTATGCAAGTTAGAATTGCTAATAATAGTGTCACGATGCATACAGAGATAATTGAAGATTTAAAAATAGAAATTGGAGGAGTTCAATGTGTTATTCCCATTTTATGGGCAACTAATCAACCTAGTCATGATATGATAATAGGAAATAATTTTCAAAGATTATACTCCCCATGCACTCAAACTATTGATCAAATAATCTTTACTATTAATGGTCATTTGTTCCCATACAGAAAATAACAAAGGCTTATACTCATCAGACAATGGAATTTACGCGCAGCCAGCGTGGTGATAGGGTTACTCCTACACAACGAGAGGTTGCACTTAGAATTTCTGAGTGTGATTCATCATTAATAAATCAGATAAATAAGCAACAAGAAAAATTATGCGAAAAACTATATTCAACAAATCCTTTAGAACATTGGGAAAAGGATAAAGCATTTGCTAAGATAACTCTAACAAATCCTAATAAGATTATTAGAGTGAGACAAATGGTTTATACCTACCAAGATATTCAGGAATTTGATGAACAAATAAAAGAGTTTCTTAATAAAAAGCTAATAAGGAATAGCAAAAGTCCTCATAATAGTCCAGCATTCATGGTAAGAAATCATGCAGAAGAAAAAAAAGGTAAAGCTAGAATGGTTATTAATATTATAAACAACTAAATGATAATACTGTTTTTGATGGCTATTATATTCCTAATAAAACTGTGTTATTTAATAAAATACAAGGAGCCACATGGGTTTCTAAAATGGATTGTAAAAGTGGCTACTGGCAAATTAAAATGGAAGAAGAAAGCATTCCTTTAACTGCATTTAGTGCCCCTCAAGGGCATTTTGAATGGCTAGTAATGCCTTTTGGATTAAAAAATGCTCCACAAATATTTCAGAGAAGAATGGATAATATTTTTAGAGAACTTAATCATTGTTGTTTGGTCTATATAGATGATATTCTGATATTCTCAAAAGATTTAGAACAACATAAGAATGATCTTAAAGCAGTAACTCAAAAATGTGCAGAGCATGGTATAATCCTTGGAATTGATAAATGTATTTATGCTAAACAAGAAATTGAGTTTCTTGGATTAGAAATTAAAGCAGGACAAATAATATTGCAAAAACATATTTTAGAAAGATTGAAAAATTTCCTTATAAAATTGAAGATAGAAAGCAACTAGAAAGATTTCTAGGATGTTTAACCTATGCTTCTGATTTTATAGAAAATCTTGCTTTATTAAGAAAGCCATTACAACAAAAACTCAAGAAAGAAATAACTTGGAACTGGAAGGAAAGTGATTCCAAAATTGTTCAAGATTTAAAAGCTATGTGTAAAGACCTTCCTATACTAACACTACCTACTAGTGAAGATGATTTAATCCTTGAAACAGATGCTAGTAATGAGCACTGGAGTGCTGTGTTAGAAATAAAAGAAGGAGAAAGACTTTGCAGATATAGCAGTGGAAGTTTTAACAAAGCTGAGTTAAACTATCCTACAATGCAAAAGGAAATCCTTGCAGTTATTAGAGGGATCGAGAAGTTTTTAATCTTCTTAGCCCCTAAACAGTTCTTAATAAGAACAGATTGCAAAGGCATACTCGGTTTCGTTAAAAAGAATTTGTTTAATATGCAAGCACAAGGGAGACTCCTGCGTTGGCAATTATACCTTAACCAATTCTCTTTTACTGTTGAACATATACAGGGAACAAAGAATTCTTTGGCAGACAGCTTGACCAGAGAATTAGCTAATGTCGTCCAAGAAGCTCAAGACTACACAAAAACCTCCTGCATACCAACTTCAAAAGATGGATGTAGAGAGGAAAACTCTCATTGATGAGACCGAAAAGGCAATGGAGCGGGTTTCACCCTCTAGTTGGGCCTTAATGCAAGGCTTGATCATATCAGCAAAACAACGTTCGTGAGATGGTTTAATTAAGGGTTGCCATCGGGCAGTCCAAAGGTTATTGATGTTCGAAATAACAATTATGTTATTTCAGCTCATTCCTGATGTACGAAATACAATATTAAACAAAATAAGAGATAACGATTTTAGGACATGGTACGAGTTGGTGTCTACAAGGTCCAGTAAATTCTTTGATCTTCGAGATCTATGGGGAGAAAGAGTAGAGTTTCCCAAAAACTCTAAAGTTGCATCATTGCGAATCTACCCATATCCTCTTAATAAAAATGCTCCATTCATTATTATACATTACAAGGCTTGGGATTATGGAATGGTACATGATTTCTATGAATTCCCTACTCCTAATGACTCTTTCTTTCCAAGACTTACAAAGTTCCAGCAGTACGCATTCAACAAGGTTCGAAAATATTGTGATGACAAAAAAGACGAATTTCGGTTAAGCGTAAAGGTACAATGTGCTAATATCGAAGTTAAAGAAGGAAAAGTTAGTCCCCAGCATTACTTAATAGTATTTGGGGGAGTGAGGTATTGCAAAGATCCCATACTAATTCGTCAGAATACTGTTAGAAATCCAACTGAAGCAAGAGCATTGGGATTTTTCTACATTTCACAATATCTTAACGATTTTATAAAAAGGAAAGAAATTCCTCTTGTCATGTTTCATGTTGGTAACACAACAATTGTGGCGCCTAACGAGATGAAAGAATATTTAGTAGATGGCATAAACAACACCGAGTCAATCTACAAATATTTAGAAGATATCGAAAGAGGAAAGTTTCTGTCATTTGAAGGCTATGAGTATCTGTTTGAAGCATTCATGAGTTGGGATGAAGAGTATGCAGCCAAATGTGTCGCAGACCTTTGCAGAGAGAATCCTATTTACGAAGACAGTAAAGATAGTGAGGGAGGCCTGCAAGAAATGATGATGGATGAAATTATGAATGCATGATCCCACACCAGCAATAATTCAAGGCATCTTTACTGTAGCCACGTTTTATTAATTGTTTCTATCTTAAAGTATCTTTGTAAAAAGCAATGGTGTAGAAATTGCTTGCCGAGTCAGGATAAGAATCCTATGTAAGTTTGCTTCCCTATATAAAGGGACTTAGGCCAAGAAGTGAATACAGAGTTGGAAGAGTTAGCTAGAGAATTGCTCTGAAAGCATTAGAGAGTCCTCTAGAGAAAAATACTCACCTTAAGAGACAGATTGGTTCTCCATCTCTCTTAAAGTAGAGAAAACTCTAGTTCAGCTTATGTCTGTTTAAGCTTTCAGTTTGTGTGTTTGTTGTAATATATGAGTGTTGTAATCTTTTCAAATTAAATAAAAGTTTCGTTCAAGAAGGGAACGTTATCCCCTTGAACCTTATATATCAAATGAGTTATCTTTCTATTTAGTTCCATCATAAACACAATAAGGATTGTCTAATTAGAGATTACGGTCTAAGGTAGGAAACGAATTAGATATGTGCTGAGCCTGATCTAAGGAAGACAGGGTTGGGGTTAGCTACCTTGATAAAGCCGAAAGCTCAGAACGCCGGAGGTTCCATTGTCGACTAAGTTCAGGTATTGGTCAAAACTCTCTAGTTAAATAACTATTATTGCGAAGCATGGTGGGCTTTTAAACTGTTAAATTAATTTATTTTGATGTATAAGTAGTAAAGTTGTGATAACTAGTACCGTTAAAAGTCATTTAAAGTAATTATCAGATCAAATTATAGTAAAAATCAGTGTATTATTAAAAACTGTTATTTTAAATTAAGGTACTTTTATTAATTTATCAAATACTGTTATTAAGTCATTAAGTACTGTTATTTATCTTAAAAAAAAAATCTGACGTCACTTGGTATTGGGCGGGGTAGCCTATACCGGGTAACGGTCCATCATTCCTCTTAAGATACTCATTGGCGGAGATACTTTAGTGCCACTGAGTCACGTGATTCAGCAATTAGATAAAAAAAAAAAGTACTCGGACACTCGGAGTACTCCTATTGCCAAATGCCAATAGTCCGTGTAGGTGCTCATCTAATTGCAGTCCTTACGAGACAAGACGGCCAATTTCCAAAAGCTGGCTAAAAAATGGCGACAATTGCATTTTCTCTCCCCTCAAACAACATCATATCCCCATTATCAACCCAACACAAACACCCCCTTAATTCCCTCACCTCACTCAAATTGCTCAAAACCCCATTAAATTCCAACAAATTATCAGCCAAAATCTGTTGCTCCTCTGAAACCACCATTCCCACATTCACAACAACTACAACTTCTTCTTCAGAATCAGATACAGAAGAAGAACTAGAACAAGAACACCAATTTGAGGAGAGAGAATCAAACCCATTTCCCTCAACGACGTCGTCTTCAAATGGTGGGTTACCTCCACCTGTGCTGAAGAAGAGGAAGAGGTACAGGAAAGAATACCCAGGTGAGAGTAAAGGGATTACTGAAGAGATGAGGTTTGTTGCCATGAAACTTCGGAATGATAAAGGGTCTTCTAAGAATGATGTGTCTGATAATGGGGATGAGTCTGATGGGAGTTGGGAGCCTAGTATTGAAGGGTTTCTCAAGTATTTGGTTGATAGTAAGCTCGTTTTTGAAACGATTGAACGTGTTGTCGAGGTTTCGAACGATGTTTCTTGTGAGTTTTCGAACTTTGTTTACTTTTATAATGTGGAATTATATTGGTAGTTGCTCTTGTTTGTAGTTTGAAATGAGACTGTGGATTCTATTGGAATTGCTACTTACTTTTCATTTGTAGTTCGAGTTAAGATTGTGTAGATTCTATTGGAATTGCTACTTACTTTCGTTTGTAGTTTGAGCTAAGATTGCGTAGATTCTATTAGAATTGCTACTTACTTTCATTTGAAGTTTGAGTTAAGATTGCGTAGATTCTATTAGAATTGCTACTTACTTTCATTTGAAGTTTGAGTTAAGATTGCGTAGATTCTATTGGAATTGCTACTTACTTTCATTTGTAGTTCGAGTTAATACTGCGTGTATTGCTACTTACTTTAATTTGTAGTTCTGGATTCTTTTGGAATTGGTACTTACTCGTTTGTAGTTGGAGTTAAGATTGTGTGGATATTGGATATTGTTGTGGATTTAATGCTAAAGTCGGAGACTTCTAGTGTAGGTAAAGTTTATTGGAGTAGTTAGTTAGTTACTAACCATGATATGTAGTTTGAGTTGAGACTGTTTGCTAGACTACTTGGTAAATTTTATTACTTACCGTGATTTTTAGTTTGAGCTGAAACTGTTAGCTTGACGATTTTGTAAAGTTTCTTGAAATCGGTACTTGTGTTTGTACTTTGTATTTTGAGTTGAGACTGCATGATTGTAAATTTTTTTGGCTAGATTACAGGTTAAGTTATTGGAATTGCTACTTATTCCTGTTGGTTTTAGCCATGGATTTTGTTGGACTTGCTACATACAATCGATTGTAGTTTGAATTAAGACTGCGTTGTGTAGCTTCTTACCATAGCCCAAGGATACTTTTTGCAAGACATGAGTTGCACCCATAGGGAAAAAAAAAAGTTGCTCCAAATGCTTTTGGAAAAACCTCTCAATGCAATAGAAACTTCATATATGTAGGCATAAGTAGTGCGCTAACATCTTTAGACCTTATAATGTATCATACTTTAACCGTAAACTTATTGAACCTGAAATAAACTTATGGAAAAAGCTAACAAAAGCCCGGATAAGATAACTAAAATTAGAGATATTAAATTGAAATGAACATTAATTATACTGATCGTCGCTTGATTTTGACATGCATTTCCAAGTTAATGCCATTTTAGGAAATATTTTAAATGATTATCTAAGGGTTCAGGGGCGTTCATTAGCAAGATATGTGAAGTTTGAATTTATTAGCCCTTATTTAACATGTGTAGCCTAGTGCTTTGAAGTTTTATTGGCCCTTGTCTATTTATTTGATAGTAGATAAGGGACAAGAATGAAATAGTGGCGTTCATTAGCTAGGTATTATTTGGGCGTTATTGCAACTTAAATATGTTTTAGTTTATTGCCCTTACTTATCTTTTTACGACTTATTAGCTTTTGTTATATCTTATCTCAACTTAATGTTCCTTATTTTATCATAATTAGATGAAACCCGTGCAATGCACGGTTTGTTTGAATTTTTTAAAATAAATTTTTTTAATTAATGTGCTAAAATTAATTATAAATTTAATAAAGTTCCTAATATCAAAAGATAATATTTTATATTTAATTAATTTAAATTTAAAATGACATTCGCCAATTTTGCTTACGTGGCATTTGAATTATTTAATTATAAAAGATTTTAATAATTTCTTATTTAATTGGCTACTATTAAAATTTATAATTCTATATGGCACACTAAGAAAATTAGATCCTATGTGGCTCTCTAAAAACTCGGGAAAAAACTCCCCTTTATATATATATATTAGATTGAACTTATTAGCGCTTATTTTATTTGAACATGTCAAGACTAATCAAACCCAAAAAAAACTAAATATAAGGGAGATTAATAGGTGTGTCAACCTGAGGTCCATACGCGCGCAATTTTTGAACATAGTGACCCTAATTTTAACTTAGTAACCTTTATTATTCATATTGACTGGTATATTAGAATTTCATAAAATAATATTAACCTTTCATGACCTTTATAATAACCCTATGGACTTTTAATTTAACATAATAACCTGTATTTTTACATAGTGACCTTATTTTTTTAATAAAATAGCCATAGTGTCTCTAATATAGTCCACAATAAATTAATGGTGAACCAGGTCTATTTAAGATTCATGCTTCATGCTCTAATTAATATAGAACCACTATATTTATGAATTAGCCAAGTGAGCCTAAGTTATAGTAGTGGGCTAGTGGCTGTGATGAGGAACGACAGTTGCTTAATGGTAGGAATTATTGTAAGGATTCTCCGTTTTTGCAAAAAGGTATTATTTCATTATCCCAGTTATCTGTGCATCCTTATTTTTCTTGGTGCATGTGAGGAGTCTCAAGTTCAAGACTTACAATATAGGAGCGGTTTGCAAAAAGCTTGGCACAATGCACCATGGCATCAAATGGAATTTTGAAACTAAGTCCAGGCTACTACTTGTAATGTATTTTGTTTCATGCTGAATATCCTTCATATTCCTCCAGAAGTAGATTGAGAAATGGATGCCTTATTGGTCATGTACTCATGTTAAAACAAGGTGGCTTGAAGCACTGTTGCATTGGAGCTGCAATAATATACCAGAGAGCTGCTACTTTTCTATTGTTTAAGCTTTTTGATAAGACTGGCGCCTTATTATACATGAAGATTGTCCGATAATGTAGTCTTGTTGATTTTGATGGTCTTTAATATTGACTTTTGGCTATTGATGAACAGATGCATACTTTAGGAGAACTGGATTAGAAAGATCAGAGGGTTTGGCCCAGGACCTAGAATGGTTCAGCCAACAAGGTATGGCAATTCCTGAGCCTAGCAATCCTGGAATTTCTTATGCCTCATATTTGAAGGAGCTTGCAGAAACAAGTCCCCCATTATTTCTCTCCCACTTTTACAATGTGTACTTCTCCCACATAGCTGCTGGGCAAGTGATAGCAAAGCAGGTGTGTTGGCCACTTTTCTGATTACTGAGAATGTTTTGTACCATAAAAAAAACATGTAGATTGTATGCCAGCTAAATAGGCCTTCTATATCATCCTGTGAAACTTTACACAATGTTTTGTCATGAATGTCAGCAAGTGTTAAAACTTAGGAGTCATGTATCCATGATTATCTTGCAACTTGCACAACTGCTCCAATGTTTTTCCAATGAAATAATTGGATAATAAAGGAGCTGTATATTTTTTCATTTATGTGGCTATTTCCTTACACTTCTGGATGGAAAGGCGAGTTTTTTGTATTATGTCATTTTTTGCAGTGTTTGCATGTGTGCGTGTTTTTCTTCTTTCTTTTTTCTTTTTTAATGCATTTGTAAACTTGAAAGAAAAATGTTTTGACTATTTGTAGCTTTTTTTTATTAAATATATTCCAACCTTTCTTTCTGCAAGTCCTCTAAAATTCGATGCATTACTGGAGTGATAGTCTCTACTGGTAACGTATATTCGTGTATCAGACCCTGCCAACTGTTGGAACCTTATTGCTCTTCGCCTTTTTGTTGTAGGCTACTATAATATCATACAAATAAGGTGCACCCAGATAAGATTTTGGTTAATTTTATCTCTCCAAATGATTAAAAAAAAGTAAAAATCTAATATGCAAAATACCATTGGGTACACATAGCTCTTTGGTGTACCCAAGTACATTATAGGGGTTCCCCTATTACTAGGCTGGATAGAAAACTTTAGGTGCTGGAGAACCATGTCCACTTTATGCTGCTTATGGCACACATTTGCAACTAAGTACTATGAATTATCTTCCTGATCTGGGTTTTGTTGATGATTTTCAATCTTTGCTTGCGTTGTTTGTCAATGATTTGATCAGTTTCCACCATTTCTTGCAGTTATCTAAGTCTTTTAATGGATGAAATCTTCTCATCCTAGTAGTAATTAACACATACTGCCCTTTTTTTGCACCTAATCTTGATCAGGTTGCTGATAAGCTTCTAAAGGAAAGGCAATTGGAGTTCTTTAACTGGGATGGAGATGAGCAAGTATTCCTGCAAGGGATTAGAGAAACACTTAATAGGCTCGCGGAGGTGGGTGCCTGAGATTATCACATCAGTTTCCTTCATTGCTTTCTGTTTTTGTTTAGCCTGTTTAAATTCAGTTTAGGAGTAAGTATATGCTTGTATTGCAGCATTGGTCTCGTGATGCCAAAAACAAATGCTTAAAAGAGACTACAAAATCATTTAGGTACCTTGGTCAAATTGTGCGCCTTATCATCATCTTATAAGGTAAGCTAAAATCACCTTATATTTTATTTTACTGTTATTTATGTTAATCTGGCTTCTGTTCCCATAGTCCTGGATTCCTTCTGCTTTTGTTTCCATGGTTGGGGCGGCGGTAGGGGAGCAATTTCTCAAGGGTAGAATTGATCTGATGTAATGATGTGTTCATTAAGTAGGTACTTGTCCTGGAATACATAGCGTTGTTCTGAAACCAATTCTTAACATCTCTCAATTCCTCTCCCATTTTAGATGTGTATCGCTTGTTTGCTGAGTTTTCGTATTTACACCTATTCATCTCACACCCATGATTAGAAAGCCAAAAATTGGCATCTTTTATGTGCTTTCTGCCAATCTGGAGTTCAGACTACAGTGCGTGAAACTGTGAACAGTTGGATATAAAAGAAAATCTTTCAGTTTAGCATTCTGTTAGTAGCCTTGTAGTATAGATACTTCTAAATTTTCTCATATCTGATCTACTGTTTTAATTTTCCCCTGATCTAGCTGACATTGTCCTGTTTTCTCATCATTTTATTTGAATACGAACAGTAATTTTGCTTCTGTTAAACAGGAATTATGATCTATAGTTCCCCGCTGCATCTGACCCCATTCCTGGTTCCTTGATGCCTCTCCTGGAAAGCAATCTGTTCTAAAAATTATGGATGGAGGTGTAATCATCAACCTGCTGTTGCAACTTGCTGGTAGGTTCATGTGGTTGGTGCCAAAAGCGATCATATCTGCATGCACAAAGCTCGTGTTTGCAGAATCGAAAGTCCAGAAGGGTTCACGTTGCTCGCCCTTTGCCTAAATACAATTGCTTCTTTTGTTGAATTGGCTAAGACTTTGCATAACTGGGATCAACTCAGCCACACACTGGGCTATCTGTCATTCCATCAAATGACCTGGACTATCACTTCCCTTGTATAAATCATGTTCATGACTCTGTAAATTCAGGAAGTTCATGTCTTGTAAATGGGAATTTTTTTTACTAAAAGTTCGAAGTATTATGAAAAAAATTGTGACTAAAATTATTTATTTATTTTATGAAAGTCTAGCAATATTATTAATCAACATATATATATATATATATATATATATAAATGGGATCGTATGAGACCACATCCCTTATGTGAGAACCCTATTATATGTGAGGACTAATTATAACCGTTGGATCAATTACATCCAACGGCCACAATTAAATCCCGGTCAAACAAAACTCTTGCGTTTTTTCTCTCTTCTCCTTCCTCTTTCAGGCGCTATTTTCTATCTCCTCACAATTTCTCTATTTTCTACTCTCTTTCTCTCTGCTATTCTCTCTGATTTTTCATCACTACTTCAATCTTCATTAATTCTTTGTCAAGGTGAGTTTATTGTTTATATTTTCGTGTTTTTCAATTAATTTTAGGTCACATTCAGTTACATTTGTTGATTTTCGTTTTGATTTTCATTTGATTTTCGCTGCTTTCAGCTCACATTGTTTATCAATTTGTGTTGATAATGTTTTACTTTGTTTTTTTCATTGATTTTAGTTTTATTTTCGTTTTTTTGAGTAGTTATCAAGTTGATTTTGCTTATTTTCGTTATTGTCCAGTTTTTTCGTTTTTTTGGAAACCTAGAATTCACTGATAATTTGTGCTATTATGTTGATTTTAGCTTGATTTTAGGTATTTTAATTATTTTGTGTATTTTAATTTGATTTTTGGTTTACTTTAGCTCTCAATTATGTTTTATTTTCTGGTTTTATATATCTTATTTTTTGTTTGATTATAGCTTTATTTGAGTAATTATTAGTTGATTTTAGTTTTAATTTTGCTTCATATGAGTAATTTATCTTACGTTTTCTTTGTTTTTTTGGAAACCTAGAAGTAATTGCTATGGATTCTGCAAATGTTCCTCAAGAAAATACAATGTATGTGTTTCTGCTCATTTTATTTTTATTATTTGAGTTATTATTATTTTTGTTGTTGTTGTAGATTAGTTGATGAGTTGTATTACTTGTATGGGAGTTCTTGTAGATTAGTTGATAACTTGTTCATTTTATGTTTTGTTGTTCATTTATGAAATATTAGCTTTTTAATTGGTAGTTACAAGCAATAAAAAGTTGTAGATTATGTTGGGAAGTAATTTTCAATACATCTAAAATTGCCACAGGTTAATACTTGTATGTGAAAGCAAATAGAAAAAAAAACAGTTTAAGATGGGAGTACATGGCTCTCATCTCTTTTGTTTGTCTTAGAAATTCTCACAATCAAAATTCCATGTGCAATGTTATTACTATCGTCACCACAAAGCTACCAACTTCGTCGTGTACTTAGTTCGACTTTTCGCATTAGAAGCCAAGAAGCTGGTAGTTTGAAGGCGTTTTACTGTTCGGCTTTTCACATCAGAAGCCTAGAAGTTAGTTCATTATGTTGCACATCAGGTCTTAAAGTAGATATCAGTGAGAAAGAATTTGAGTTTAAAAACAAGTTCTCTAACTTCTTCACAGCTTTGAAAGTAGTTGATAACTTGCTCATTTTATGTTTTGTTGTTCATTTTAGCACCAAGTATTTGCTCATTTGACAAATGAGCATTTAACTATTTACTCATTTGACAAATGAGCAATTAACTATTTGCTCATTTGAGAAATGAGCATTTAAGTTTTTGTTCATTTTGTTAAATTAGTAGCTAAGTATTTGCTCATTTGACATCAAGGATACCTATTTTGTTGAGCAGGACATCTGTTGAGACAAATTCTGCTGTTAATGTTGGTGAGCAAGATGCAGCAGGGGCAGGACATTTAAGAGTTATTGGTGGTGACCAAGATGCAGCAGGGGCAGCACAGTTAAGAGTTGGTGGTGACCAAATGCAGCAGGGGCATCACAGTTAGGAGTTGTTGGTGGTGACGAAGATGCAGCAGGGCCAGCACAATTAGGAGTTGTTGGTCGTTCTACACAGCCACAATATAAAGGAATGAGTTTCAAGACAGGATCTTCTAATGACAAAGGAAAAATGGTTTTAAAGGACACATTAAAGAAAGAAAAACAGATGATTAAGGTAGTGGAGATGAAATCCAGCAATGAATTGCAAGGTTTGAAGTCAGGAAATGAAGTGGAAGGTTTGAAGTCTCACATTCATGGGACATTGCATAGTCGGATGTCACCCTCATCCATTGTTCAAGTTATGGAATCAGTTTTACTTTCACAAAATCAGTTGAAAGCAGTTAGAGATATAGGATTTGGGTCGATGGAGTTTTTGAAGGTGACCCAACTGCCTTTGCGGTTGGGTTTATGGTTGGTGCATCACTTTGATGCTAAGACGTGCTCATTAAATATTCCTGATTCTGATCCTTTTCGTATTACTGAAGACCATGTGCATGAAGTTCTTGGGTTGCCAATAGGGGGCATAGAGATTGATAAAAATAATTTTTCCAGAAATAAAAAAGTCATTCAGCAATGGAAAAAGCAATTCCAAAGCAACTCACTCTTTATCAAAATAGGGGAGCTTAAAGAGTTTTTGAAGGAGCATAAATAAGCTGGTGCTATGTTCAAACGGAACTTTGTAGTTCTTTGTGTGTCTACACTGATGGATGATAGTCTTCTTATTTTTGTTATGCTCATTTTACTTTCAATTTGCTCATTTTCAATTTAGTTTGCTCATTTCTATTTTATTTTGCTCACTTAAATTTCTATTTGCTCATTGCTCTTTTGTTTTGCTCATTTTTTTGTCAGGGAAACAAAACATGAATATTAATTATGATATTCTTACATTTCTTTCTGATGTTGATAAAATCAAGGACTTGAATTGGTCAAAGTATATCCTTGATTCTCTCGTGAAGGGCAAGCTTTTATGGGAAGAACGTCCAACTCGTTCTTCTCCTGGATCTTTATTGTTTCTTATGGTATTACTATAATTTTTGTTTATTTTTAATGTAGTATTTCTTACTTATTTGTTGATTTTTAATTTACTAATTTTTCTTTTCTTACTTGTTTGTAGTTATTATATGTTGATCAATTTGTACTTGAGGAAGTTCGAGCTGCACGTGAAATTCCAATCTTGAAAGGGTGGACAACAACTATGTTGTCAACACGTGAGAAATTGGAACTCTTTAAAGGGAGGCTTGGAAATATTCGTGCTAAAAAGCTTGATGCTGGTTCTTCTAGCATGACACAGCCTAAAATGGTGTTTAACTATAATTTTCTGTTTTATTCTTTTCCTTTTTATCCTACTTTTTTAACTTTTTTTTTTATTTAGGAAAAATTCATTCCTTTTGAAGTGGAAACTCAAGTAGTTGCCAATAAGGTAACCATATATACTGTAATATTCTTTGTTCTTTTTGGAAATGACCAACTAATTTTTGCTCATTTGTCTAATGAGTAAGCAATTACTTGCTCATATTTGAAATGAGCAAATAATTTTTTGCTCATTTGACAGATGAGCAAATTATGCAATTGGTTATGTGTTATAAGTAAGCTTGGTTTATATTTGTTAGGATATTTGCTTTCAACTTGTTCTAACTTTCTTTTTCTTTTTTTTGTTTTGTTTTTGTTTGACTTTAGGAACAATCTGATCTAATTCGTACAAAAAATGAAGAAAGTGAACAAGATCCAAAGAAGGTATTTATATGAGTTTTCTGGAAACCAATATTAATTTTTTGTTCATTTTTAGACATTGTTTGAACAAGAGTATTGATCCCTTCTAATTCTGCACTCCCCCCCTCCTCCATCCCTTAAACACACACACAAACACACACAATTATTCTTGTTTATTTGTCATTTTTCAATCATAATCTGAATCAATTTTTTGCTCATTTGTGAAATGAGCAATTAATTTTTTGCTCTAGAACCGGCCGTGGAATGTGAAGAGCACATAAAGCCTGAGAATAAAAAAATAGAATTGAAAAATTAAATTTTAAAGAAAAAAAGAAGCCAGATCTAATAAAAAGGGAACATATTATATTCTTGAAATTACCATCAACAACAGAACGAAGCAAGTGAGAAAAAAAAAAATGAAAAAGTGGAAGGATTAATACTTTTTTTTGCTCTAGTACTATTGCTTCTAGTTATTTTGTATCAGATTTACTGTCTTCTTAGATCTTAGTGCATGGTCATCAGTTTGCAAGACTCATTAATTGAAGTGGAGTTGTAGTATGTTGAGAAGATCTTTGTTTCAAGTTTTGGGAAAAGGAATGGGGTGACCTGGCATTGTAGTTTGTAGAGTTCTTCTCAGTATGATGCATAGAGGCAAGTGGCCATATGTGTGCTTTTTCATTACTCATATGCATCTCATGAATATAGAAAAAGTATTTTATGTAAATGTTGGTCTTTGGTTACTGCAATCTTGTGAAACTCATATATGATAAATATGTGGATATTTCTTGTGAGCAGGAGCATTATAGTTCTTAATTTTTTGCTCATTTGTCAAATGATCAATTAATTTTTTGCTCATTTGTCAAATGAGCAAAAACTTCAATGCTCATATAAAGTTCAATTTGCTCAGTTTTATATGACTTTGCTCATTCCATATCCACTTTGCTCATTTCATATCCACTTTGCTCATTTCATATTTACTCTTCTCATTTATATTTATCTTATTTATGTATTTTTTTTTTTTTTACAGAAATTCCTTATGGAGCTTGCAACAACATCTACAAACCTGGTCTTGGCATACATGTATTTCAGTAAAAAACATGAAACTGCCATCAAGTATTTTCCAAACAACGAGAAGATACAAAAGTTGAAGGAAGATGCCATGGGCATTTATGATGAGCATAAGATGAGCTCCAAAACTTTGACTGAAGATAATACTCTTTCATTTAGCCAAGATGAAGAGTATTGACTAGATCCAGCAGTAATTGAAGCTTGGGATAGGTTTTCTGAGATTTCAAGCAACAAAAAGCATGTTGAATCTTCAATCAATGCAATGGTTGTTCATCCAAATAAATCGGAACCCATTGATGTTACTAAGATTGCTTCCGAAAGTATTCAGATAGCAAGTTGTATCCCTGATGTTGGATGTTCAGATAGGGCTGCTAAAAATGTGTTCAAAAAAATTGGAGATTCAAGTTTCAA